GTGGTTTACAATGCCTCCTTAAAGTGGGGCACACACACACTCACACTGGACACGGGAGCACACACACGCGTGCACACACACACACACCAGAGGACGTTTAGAGAGCGGCGCTTCGTTGGCTCTTCTTGTGTACCAGCGTTGTTTACTGTTGTTAGGGAACCACAAGGCCCATTGTTGGTTGTTAGTCTTCCCCATATTTTTATTTCTCTGTGTCGTGATTGTCTGCTCTAAACATCAGGCTTGATGTGTGTATGTTCATGCTATCCTTGGGGTGAGCCTCAAGGGGAAAAACATGTTTTCTTCCATAAAATAAACATAAAATACATCTGTGGTGAAAGCAGTGAGGGTTCTCAATGTGAAGGTTTTATCTGTTGGGAAAAAACTGAGTTTGTGTTCACAGAGGAACATGTCCTTTGCATTGCTCGAGGAGATAGGACAGAGAGAGAGAGCGAGAGCGAGCTAGCGAAGAGAGAGACGCGAGGAGATAGCGGCGAGAGCTGAGCGAGCATAAGCGAGCAGATCTATCTCTCTTCTCTCTCTCTATATATCTCTCTCGGCTCTTCTCTCTACTCTCTCTCTCTATATCTCTCGATACTATCGCTCTTCTCGACTCTATCTTCTCTCATCCCTCCCTCCCTCCCAGGTGCGGTACTGCCAGTCTCTCAGTGAGGAGGAGAAGAGGGAGCTCCACATGTTCAGTGTCCAGAGAAAGAGAGAGGCTCTGGGGAGAGGAACTCCCAGGATGCTCCCCCGAGCCCTGCAACACACCCTCTGTGAACATGTACGTTCACACACACACAACACATACATGCACCCACGCGCGCACCCACCCACAATCCGAGTACAAACTGGATTGCCATCTTATAAGACATTTCGAGGCGAGGAAGAAAATGACGTTAAAGCCAGTAAATATGTCTCTCCCTTCCTCATTACATGTCAATCCTATAAAGAGCTGCTACTTCCTCCTGAAGCGCAGCTACTCCTGCTAGGCAGAGCAGAACAAGAGAACAAGCTAACGACACAGGGCAGTACCGTGGCTGTTTTTTAAAAGACTTACTGACCCCCGTTGGCCTCGCTCTGTTCTATTCTGTTGTAGTCTAAAATGCGTGTCCCAAATGGCATCCTATTCACTACATAGTGTACTACTTTTGACCAGGGCCCATGGGGAAGTAGTGCACAATGTAGGGAACTAGGGTGCCAGTTGGGACGTAACCTAAAGCTCCAGTGCTAATGTGACGATTTAATCAAGGGCAGAGTCTGTCTCATTAACAACTAACCCACTCAGAGGGAGCAGAGAGGAGGAAGTGTGGACATTAGGAGCTCGTGCTCAACCCGAGCGTGGAAGTCATTCCAGCAAAAAGAATGTGCCCAATTTCCTGCCGTCAAAAATAAATCTAAACAGCGTGTTGCGTTCGGATCAACTGTACACTGGTCAGTAGGCACCCATTAACCCAGTGCTCTACAGGCTGTACAATAGTATCTCTCTCTCTCTCTCTCTCTCTCTCTCTCTCTCTCTCTCTCTCTCTCTCTCTCTCTCTCTCTCTCTCTCTCTCTGTCTCTCTGTCTCTCTGTCTCTCTGTCTCTCTCTCTCTCTGTCTCTCTGTCTCTCTGTCTCTCTGTCTCTCTGTCTCTCTCTCTCTCTCTCTCTCTCTGTCTCTGTCTGTCTCTCTGTCTCTCTAGTGACCACATCCTATTAGACTAGAGACCACATCCTATTAGACTAGTGATCACATCCTATTAGACTAGTGACCACATCCTGTTAGACTAGTGATCACATCCTATGAGACTACTGACCACATCCTATTAGACTAGAGACCACATCCTATTAGACTAGAGACCACATCCTATTAGACTAGTGATCACATCCTATGAGACTACTGACCACATCCTATTAGACTAGTGATCACATCCTATTAGACTAGTGATCACATCCTATTAGACTAGTGATCACATCCTATTAGACTAGAGACCACATCCTATTAGACTAGTGATCACATCCTATTAGACTAGTGATCACATCATATTACTAGTGACCACATCCTTAGAGACCACATCCTGTTAGACTAGTGATCACATCCTATGAGACTAGTGACCACATCCTATTAGACTAGAGACCACATCCTGTTAGACTAGTGATCACATCCTATGAGACTAGTGACCACATCCTATTAGACTAGAGACCACATCCTATTAGACTAGTGATCACATCCTATTAGACTAGTGACCACATCCTGTTAGACTAGTGACCACATCCTATGAGACTAGAGACCACATCCTGTTAGAATAGTGACCACATCCTATGAGACTAGAGACCACATCCTGTTAGAATAGTGACCACATCCTATTAGACTAGAGACCACATCCTATTAGACTAGTGACCACATCCTGTTAGACTAGTGACCACATCCTATTAGACTAGTGACCACATCCTATGAGACTAGAGACCACATCCTGTTAGAATAGTGATCACATCCTATTAGACTAGTGACCACATCCTGTGTGAGGCAGAACAATTCAAAGCATGGCTGGTTTGAGTGCCGGAGTACTGGCATGTTGTAAAGGCATGGCTGGTTTGAGTGCTGGAGTACTGGCATGTTGTAAAGGCATGGCTGGTTTGAGTGCCGGAGTACTGGCATGTTGTAAAGGCATGGCTGGTTTGAATGGCTGAGTACTGGCATGTTGTAAATGACATAATACCCCAAAGGAAGAACAGGGAGGGAGACGGTAATCCCTCTGGACAGCAGATGTGGGCTGTCACCCCCCGTACACACAGAGAGAGAGAGAGAGAGAGAGAGGAGAGAGAGAGAGAGAGAGAGAGAGAGCAGAGAGAGAGAGAGAGGAGAGGATGAGAGGAGGACGAGGAGAGATGAGGAGAGAGGGAGGAGAGAGAGGCGAGAAGTAGAGAGGAGAGAGAGAGGAGAGAGAGGGGCGAGGAGAGGCAGAGAGAGAGAGAGGAGAGAAGGAGAGAGAGAGAGAGAGAGAGAGAGAGAGAGAGAGAGAGAGAGAGAGAGAGAGAGACACCACAAAGCGGCATGTTTTTGTCTATAGCTGTGGTTTTCGAATGCCTTACCTTCAGGGGACACGCGACACCCCGGTTTCCAAGGCCGATGGCGGCTTGGTAATAACGGACAACAGCTGTGAGTGGTGTCCCAGAGCCCTAGTGCTCAGACCTGGGTTCAAATAGTATTTGAAATTATTTCAAATACTTTAGCCTGGCTTGATTGATGAGCTTGCCTAGCGCAATGGGACCGCTGCCCATCTGGCACGCCAGGCAGGTTAAAGCAAACGATGAAAGTATTTGGAAGATTTCTAATAGTATTTGAACCCTGGTCTGGTAGTGGTTATATAAAGACTGATGACTGTATGTTCAGACACGCTCTGCTGAGCTTTCTGGAGTCATACGATCTGGAGCGATGAGGCTATAGTAGAGTGTTTGGTTTTACTGAAACATATACAGAACAAAACAACACAGACACACACACAAGGACACAAACACCATGACCATTTACTCATTCATTGGTGTTTTGTGTGGACTGAAACACACCATGACCATTTACTCATTCATTGGTGTTTTGTGTGGACTGAAACACCCCATAACCATTTACTCATTCATTGGAGTTTTGTGTGGACTGAAACACCCCATAACTATTTACTCATTCATTGGTGTTTTGTGTGGACTGAAACACCCCATAACCATTTACTCATTCATTGGTGTTTTGTGTGGACTGAAACACCCCATAACCATTTACTAATTCATTGGTGTTTTTTGTGGACTGAAACACCCCATAACCATTTACTAATTCATTGGTGTTTTGTGTGGACTGAAACATCGCTTGATATGACTCAGTGATCCGTTCTGTTTTGCTGGCAACTTAATCAAGCAACAAATACACTGTTTACTCTAACCAACACGCTTGTTGATATCTTTTGCATGTCACATGGTCCCAGATCAGTTTGTGCTGTCTTGCCAACTCTTAGGATCATTGTCACATGACTGGCACAAACAGATCTGGGAACAGGCTATGTATACCCTGCTTCTTCAACGATACCCCATTGGTCTCCACATCTCCGTGGTCCTCTGTAGCTCAGCTGGTAGAGCACGGCGCTTATAACGCCAAGGTAGTGGGTTCGATCCCCGGGACCACCCATACACAAAAAAAAAATGTATGCACGCATGACTGTAAGTCGCTTTGGATAAAAGCGTCTGCTAAATGGCATTATATATTATATTATATATTATATTATATATATATTATATTAACATTTTGCGATTTAATTTCATCCCCAGTGTGGCGAAGGCATCAGCGGAGGAGAGATGGCCATCTTTGCGTCGCGGGCGGGTCCGGGGCCGTGCTGGCACCCAGCATGCTTTGCGTGCGCCACGTGTCAGGAGCTGCTGGTAGACCTGATCTACTTCCACCAGGATGGAAAGATCCACTGTGGACGGCACCACGCCGAGCTGCTGAAACCACGATGCTCAGCCTGCGATGAGGTGAGATCACTGTGTGTGTGTGTGATCAATAAGCTAATTACCTGAGCATTCTGCTCAGCCTGCGATGAGGTTAACTCATTGCAGACATGAAACATTGAAACATTTGGCTTGAAACAATGCCAGACTTCTTTTCAACATACAGTAGTTAGGCTTTAGTCAGTCTGCTCATTAAACACTGGAGATAGACAGAAGACTACCGAAGCGATGTGACCTATAAGCTTATTGCACGATTAGTAACTGAAGTTGAATTAATCTTGTGTTCCGTTTCCTAATTATTCTGTAAGTAGCAGACAGTGTTTAAACATGTCTGTTTATCCCTCCTCTCAGATCATCTTTTCTGATGAGTGCACGGAGGCGGAGGGACGTCACTGGCACATGAAGCACTTTGCCTGTTCCGAGTGTGAGACGGTGCTGGGCGGTCAGCGGTACATCATGAAAGATGGCCGCCCCTACTGCTGTGGCTGCTTCGAGTCTCTGTACGCGGAGTACTGTGAAGCCTGCGGGGAGAATATAGGTGAGTCAATATCTCTGGTTCATAAGTGGTCAATCTATGCCTGATTACTTGAATAAATCAAACAGTTCTTGACATAATGTGCAGCCTGTTGCTGAAGCCTTTTAAAGATGTTGCTCTACACTCTCTCCCTCCTCTCTTCCCTCCCCCTCCCTTCTTGCCTCCCCCAGGAGTGGACCACGCCCAAATGACCTACGAGGGTGTCCACTGGCACGCTACAGACACGTGTTTCTGCTGTGCCCAGTGTAAGAGCTCCCTGCTGGGCTGTCCCTTCCTGCCCAAGCAGGGCCGCATCTACTGCTCCAAGGCCTGCAGCCTGGGAGAGGATGTCTACGCCTCAGACTCCTCCGACTCCGTCTTCCAGTCTGCCCACTCTCGTGAATCCCGCCAGAGCCACATGGGCAAGAGCAGCCACCCGGTGGCTGAACAGTGGAGGCACTCCCAGCTCTTCAACCCCGTTGCAGTGGCTGACTATAATAAGACTCCTAGTCTATATGGAGACAGATATAGAGAGGACAGGGATATGGACATTGTGGGGCAAAAGCTGTCCCACATGGGCTTCACTGAGGAGCGCACCTGGAGGGACCGAGAGGAGCAGGAGGCTCCGGAGGATCCAGAGGAGTGGGCCGAACACGAGGACTACATGACACAGCTCCTGCTCAAGTTCGGGGACCGCGCCGGGGTGTTCCAGACACAGCCTCCAGAGGAACCCAGCACCAGTAGGTCAGCCGAACCCTGGCTGAAGCCTGAGACTAAACCGGCCTCCACCTCCACCACCACCAGTCCCACGAACCAGAGCCACAGTCACCTGCCTGAGACGTACTGGGCCCAGTCCCAGGATGGACTTGTCAGTAAGAAGCACCTGCCTGAGACGTACTGGGCACAGTCCCAGGACGGGCTTGGGGATTCGGCTTACGGAAGCCACCCTGGACCTGCTAGCGCCAGAAAGATCCATGATCTGGAGCTGGACCAGGGGCTGATTGACCAGAGGGTTAGCGCTGGGGGAGCAGGGTTATGGATGCTGGACCCCAGGCAGTGGTGTGAAGACTCTCTGGAGTGTATCACAGACGAGCTGAGGAAGACTGAGCAGAGTGTCGGGGACTCCATGGACTCTCTAGCCCTCTCTAACATCACTGGTAAGAGTTCATATCACAGGCGCTTGCTGTAAAACAGTGTTTGGTGAACTTCTGGTGAAAGTAGTCTGGTAAAAGGTAGTCGGCGATCAGTTCTTAATTCCAGTGTGATGATGGAGATTTAAATGGAACAGGAAAGGATAGTATACAAAGCCATGAAGCACATTAGCTACAGTAATTAGCTACAGTAAAGAACTCTTGTTTTCCTGCTTCTTTCTTGAGTAACATATACGTTTATATTTTCCTGTCCTCCCAGGTGCGTCAGTGGACGGAGACAGTAAGGAGCGTCAGATCCTCTACTCCCTCCACAACCTGCTGGACCCAGAGCCAGAAGACTGTGATAAGATGAGCAACATGGGCACCCTCAACTCCTCCATGCTCCATCGCAGCGCCAACTCTCTGGATCACCAGGAGGGGGCAGCAGACCAGAAGGAGGTAGAGGAGGTGCAGAGGGGGGCGCAGAGGGTACAGGGGCCAGTGTCTCTCCCCCTCCCGCCCCTCCCTCCTAAACAGGAGATGCCACCTCCTCACCTTCAGCTGCCAGTGTTGAGGAGGAGCAGGTCCCAGTCCACACGGCCACCAGGCCAGCAGATGGTCAAGTTCTCTGAGGATACGGTGGATAACGGGTCTTACCAGAACCTGGCGGTGCGTCAGCCTCCTCAGAGTGAGAGGACGCGTCGGAGGGTGTACCACCCTCACCACGAGGACCCCGACAGGCCACGCCGGCACCACGGCCACCACCGCAACCGCAAAGCACGCTCGGACAACGCTCTTAACCTCCTGCCTAAGGAACGGGTGCAGAGGCCCTACGAGAGCCAGGGACATGGTCTGAGTTCCCTTCAGGAACATCACGCGGCCCTCTTCAACCAAACCTGGCCCTGGTGCTCACAGGCCGCCCCCCTACCCCCACACCACCTCGGACTACTCCCTCCAGGCTCGGGGCGACCGGGATCGCGACCGCTTCCTAGGCGGCCTGTACGCTGACGAGGAAGACTGGTGCTCCACCTGCTCCTCCTCTTCCTCAGACTCTGAGGAGGAAGGTTACTTCCTGGGGCAGCTCATTCCCCAGCCCAGGGTTCCTAGCAGGTATCAATACTACACTGATGACTTCCCAACACGCGTTACGGCCATGTCGCCTAACGACTCACGGACTAAATCCAGAAAGAAGGGTCACAGAGGCAAGAACTGTATAATTTCATAATCTAGATGTAAATTCTGTTTTACTTCCAGGACTAATAATTTGTGGACAGGTGGGGACATCAGCTGTTCTTTGTAGTTTGACTTGCTGAACATAATATTGGACGCGAACAAAACATTGTCCATTGTATTGGGCATAATGACATCTTATTATGGGTCATGTCTAACACTCAAACCAGAAGACATTTTCTCCTTTTCTTTTTATAAAATTTGCCAAAAAAGTTTTTTTTTTTACAACATTGTATGATGAACCATTGAAAGTATTCCAGCAATACCATTGTGTGTATTAAACAGCAATTAATGCACTACTGTTATTGCTGACAAGGAGAGGAATAGTTAGTAAAGTAGACTTCTAGACACTAACCAAAATAATTATTTAATAGTACAAAATATGAATGTATATATTGTTAAGTTAAAATGTTAATACTGGTATTTTTATATCCCTGGGTTTTAACTAAGATTTTTCTGGTTTTGATGTAAACAGAGCTGGCGTAGGGAGGCGGGACAAGCTGTTATTGTAGTAACAAGCAGACCTATTTTGCACGCATCACTTGTCAATCAATCAAGGCTTTATAAAAATAAAATAAAAAATGTTGCCGGGATACAGACCATCTGCTTACTCAAATCAAAGTGCCATAATATCTGATTTCTGATGTTTCTGGTAACAATTAACCGTTTCTGGTAACATTTTACACGAAGTTGCTCTTAAACCTCTCAACATCAATGTAAAGTGATACCCTGTGTCTTTCCTGTATTCCAATGTTTACGCTATTCTCTAACGCGCTTGTCCCTCAGTGTAAAATACAATGTAAAACCAACCTGATGGGAGACAGAGTAATTTACATTACAGAGGTCTTCTCCATACATGCCCTTTAATCAGTGCAGGTCATTATACCATGAATACTTAAAATGTTATGTAATGTAAAGAAGCTTTTAATAAATATTCTTACGAAACGTTTCAGAATTCTTTCCCAGTTTTTCATATGTAGTAGAATAATTGATTTTATAGTGTTTTTTGACAAAGTAAATATTCATATTGGGCAATGCAAATAACTTGGATGGTGTTCAAGCATTGCACCTCAACCAAACACTGACCCACAAAGGCACCAAACCTGATATGTGAATGGTAGATACTAGATAGTCTAAAACTCCATTGACATTAAAAAAAATCATCTTTATTATTATTATTGTTATACTCAAAAATCATTTTCTCACAAATCATCAAAGACATGTCAGTTCCACATATAGAAAGTTGAATTGAACCTGGGACATTTAGAAAGTGTTTCTGTTTTGTTGTTGAGAAAATTAGCACTGGTGGTGAATACAACATTCTGTCAAGAAACACAACATCTAAATCACACATAACAGGCCAGTATCATTCTGGTTGGAGTAGAACATCCAGTCGATTAACATTTCAAATACTAAAGAAAAGAGGAGAGCAGGAAGAGTTCATAAAACAAGACATCGCTTCTTAACTGGACCTTACTTGCTGAGGATTGTTTGTGGTACCAGTGGATAATGACCTCTAACACGGCACTCTTCACCATTAGATTACCAGTTCAGTAAAAACACTGATGACCGTTCCTATGATTACGCTGGTTAACAGTTTTAAAATCTGGAATTCCTAGATGAACTATTAGCCTAAATTGACATACCAATTCTACTAGTTAAGGACATTGTAGAACCAATACCCTCATCGGGTGGTGAGCAAGTAGCTGAACATGACTTTGAACACTGTTTTTGACGATTGCTGGACATTATCAGTACATATGGGTCCCCTGGATGTGGTGCATCTCTGGCCTGAAACCCAGAAAGATGGAAAAACATGGGGCCAATACTGCTCAAGATATCCATAGTCTTAACACATGGCAGACTCCTGGGAGTCCTGCCCTCACTGTATGCCCAAACTGGAGGCCCAACAATAAGACAGGACCTGATTGGCTCCCTTACAGTAAGATGGGACGTGATTGGCTGTCTTGTCTCAGATGGAGGGTTCCGGTTGCCGTACGACCTCAATCACCTCATCCAGATCGGAGATGAAGTGCTTGAGGTCATCAAGGCAACGCTCCCTGATCTCTCCCAGGTTCTCTCGGAGTGGCGTCTGCAGCTGCTTCTCCAGACTGGCGTCCTTAGCAACCAGCATCTTCACTACCATGCCAAACGTCTCACAGTCCTGTCGGTACACCTGGAAAACAACACAACAATAGAACATCAGAAACAGGAGCCAATAACACATCATATTTTGGTCATTTAGCAGACGCTCTTATCCAGAAGGAATTTCAGTCAGTGCAATATAATACAACAATCACAACATGATCAACAAGAAGAACATATTTTTCGTTGACTACAGAAACAGAACAAACGAACAGTACTAGCTCTTTAGAGATGAGGAACATCAGTACTTCCAAATATGAGGGGAATATGAGGGGCTGGTTTTAGAAACGATTTCCTGATGAGCCCAGAGCTAGCTCACGTCTATGTGCTCGTACAATAAAGGGAGAAGAGAACACCGTGGAGTTAACACACTGTTCATTGTGTCAACACATAGACCCAGGTCCCCTGTCAGCACACAAGCCTTCTTATTGGCTAGCCTGGCCCTGGAGCCAATAAAAACACAGTAGAGGAGTTGAAGCTCTAGGGCTTGTAACAGGTGTGAGGGGAACAATGAGAGGAGAGGTGTTAAAACTGCTGATCCACACCTCGTCTTCAACGGCTCACACAGACCAATCAGCAAATATACTGCTGATGTCATACAAGGTCAAACCTAGTGCACAGTCTAATGATTTGATCAGAGGATTGGTTTAGCTTATCTAAAATGAATTCAATCCAACATCAACATTAGAGGAAACTGTCATGACAAATTTGGATTACAAGAGCTAAATAAAAGAAGGCATTAAATCTGTAATCTTTCCCATCACGATAACTCACAAACTGAAACATGCACTGACAAGGAAATATTTAAATAACGGAGGGAAAACACCAAGATAAGACACTGTTGAACTGTCATTAAGATGAAAAACAGTCCACCCCATTGCCCCAGGGTGACACCTGGAAAAGGTTCTCATCATAAACATGCAGAGGGAGAGAGAAAAGTGGAAAAGTGGCCTGTTTATAATTGTGACCTACTACAGACCAACATGAGAGCAGAGAATACATGCAGTCAGGATCATTATGGACATTCCAACATGGTCCACTCACTATTCCTTTGTTACCACACCCGGACAGCCCTTAGAATCTCTCTCCACTGCATACTTAGAGATGTCTCAGACAGCAAAGGGCCGTGCCGTCCTGAGTAGTGTTAGCTTCCAGCTACAGTCCTTTTTCCCAGGGCCTCAGTCTCTGACAGTCTGCAGCTATAAGAGGTGAGTCACTGTCAGGCCTTTAGGAAACTAACACAGACCTATTCTCTTTCTCCCCTACTCTCTCTTTTTTCTGTCTCTCTCCATCTCTCTCTCTCCTCTACGGGCTCCTGTCCTGTGTGAACAGTGAGTTGAACGATTACTAATCTTGTCTTTGTGCCAGACTGGCTTCAAATGCCTTCGGTTGAATTTATCTGGATTTATTTATCCGTATATATGCATATACAAAACCAGTCAAAAGTTTGGACACACCTACTCATTCAAGGGTTTTTCTTCATTTTTACTTCCAGGTGACTACCTCATGAAGCTGGTTGAGAGAATGCCAAGAGTGTGTAAAGCTGTCGTCAAGGCAAAGGATGGCTACTTTGAAGAATCTCAAATATATTTTGATTTGTTGGTTACTACATGATTCCATATCTGATATTTCATAGTTTTGATGATGTCTTCACTATTATTCTACAATGTAGAAAATAGTAAAAATAAAGAAAAACCCTTGAAATGAGTAGGTGTGTCCAAACTTTTGACTGGTACTGTATATTTTTTAACTGTTCTTGGGATATAATTATTGTTTGGATAACCTTATTTATTATGTATTGCTTTTTATTTTATTTGTAAATTATTTTAGTCACTCTTTATGCGATGCACACTGCAGAGAACACCGGAAGAAGAATTCACAGAATTATCACAGTGAATTGTCTCTGTTGCTTTAATGGTCATATGTGGCCAGTTAACACAAATTAAAATGTAATTCATTCATCTCTAGCCACTGCCACTCAGACATTTTTTATGAGCAGACAAGTCATATCAGGAGCCACATGGTTGAGTTTAGGTCAAATATAGATTTAGTCTAATTTAGATTAGATTATTAATTATCTGGATTCTAGGGATCAGTAAGCCAGGCAGATACAGGAAGCTAACAGGCCTGGGGGAGTGAGTGTGTGCGCACGTGTGTGTGTTAAAAAAAAACAACGTTTTATTTAACCTTTATTTAACTAGGCAAGTCTGTTAAGAACAAATTCTTATTTACAATGACGGCCTACACCGGCCAAACCCGGACGACTCTGGGCCAATTGTGCGCCGCCCTACGCGACTTCCAATCACGGGCGGATTGTGATACAGCCTGGAATCGAACCAGGGGGTCTGTAGAGACGACCTCTAGCACTGAGACGCAGTGCCTTAGACCGCTGCGCCACTCGGGAGCCCTGTGTGTGTTGGAGTTGAAGACGAGCCACAGCTGAGTTTGGCTGGGCAGGAATGTGAAGGTTGGGGGGGGGGGGGACGACGACATCTAAACTGGGTCACAGTCAGGATGCATCCCAAATGGCACCCTATTCCCTATATAGTGCACTACTTTAGACAAGGGCCCATGCGGCAATTTGGGACACAGCCTCAGTCATCCACCTAACCCAACCTAACACCATTAACAGTTGCTACTGTACTGCTAGGCATTTTCACTTCCAGGCTATTTTTAGCCAATCACAATGTTGCTGGGTGTGGACTAGAGCCAGGCTATGTAAGGAAGGCAGACATTCCATCTCAAGAGGCCATGATAATGAAATCACATGAAACCTCTAATGGCTATAATATTAGATGTATGTTAATCAAGAGCCGTACCCATTCATACACGTACATAAATGACTGTGTTAATCAGCACTTCATTGTGTTAAGGCTGTATTGTTAGTTCTATAGTAATAGAGATGGTCAGGCAACATAGTGAGTGTATTTCCAACCTCAAATCCTTAGTTCCTATACCATGAGTGGTTTAGATTCATAGGTAGGCTATACTGAAAATGACCAGAATTAAGTTGTTAATAACAGGAGGTACCAATCAGTCCAACGCAGGAAGTGCCATGTTCCAACTCCTAACAATGCTTAGAATGCATTTCATAGAGCAAACTGTACTTTCACATACTTCCTGTGTGACCCCGTTACCCAATCAAGGAGGAAGTTGCTCTTGACCACTGGAGGTGTGGGTGGCTGTTGCTTTGAGCACGGAGGCGTTGACTGGTGGGAGTGCAGGGCCTGATCTCTGGGCTGTGGATCAGAGAGATACCGTACACCGGAAGGACAGGGAGGGGACCCAGCCGGGACACGGAGACAGGGTCCACAGCCCCTCTCTGATTAGAGCCTGGGGGCTGAGGAGGAGGAGAGGCCACACATTGTGGCTTTGGAGCTTAAAGGGTCACTATTAAATCAAAACATGCTACCGGCTTTCCAGGTTATGAGGGGTACGGCCTACCTCATAACCTGTGTCCCAAACGGCACCCTATTCCCTACATAGAGCCCTGGTCAAAAGTAGTGCACTATAAAGGGAATAGGGCACCATTTGGGACACAGCCCTAGTCTGGTGCCACATTCTAGATGATGATGAATAGGCCCTATACAGACTGAATGCCACCCATGCCTTTCTACCACTCCATGGCAGTGAGCTAAGCTTGTAGCGCCATTCATATGCCTCCTCCTCCTCTACTGTGAGAAGGCCATGGAGGTGGAATTTAGTCCAATTTCACTTAGCTACAAACACACACAGGAGGTATGTAGGCTATATGGGACTACAGGAGGTATGTAGGCTATATGGGACTACAGGAGGTATGTAGGCTATATGGGACTACAGGAGGTATGTAGGCTATATGGGACTACAGGAGGTATGTAGGCTATATGGGACTACAGGAGGTATGTAGGCTATATGGGACTACAGGAGGTATGTGGAAAACGTAGAGGGTTGAGGCTGCCAGTATAGGCTAAGCGTACAGTGGAGGAGATGGCTAGACCAGATTGTGGAGGGGAAATAAACATATCTTTGTGTGTGTGTGTGTGTGTGTGTGTGTGTGTGCGGTTGACATCTGGTTGACACTTGTTGAGCGGTTAACCATTACTGCAGAGGAGAGCCTCATTTCACTTCACAGACCTTTCTAATGTGAAATAAGGGGGGTTGTTTCTTGAAAGGATTCCATGCCGTGTCGCGTAACTATGCATGATCTGAGGACATAAACAAACACTTCAATCACTTGGTTTGGAAAAGAGCAGCAAAGTGAAAAAATTCAGAGGATAAAAACAGATGCTGTTGAGGAGAGGCCCAGTGCTCTCAGGAATAGTTTCTCTAAAGCAATGCTTCTTTATTCAGATAGAAAGAGGACTGAACAATAGGTTTTGAAGTACTGGTTTGGGACATCTCTTTTGCGTTCTCTGACAGCACATCACGTCAAATACAAGCCTACGCTTCAACCACACAAAAAGGAGCTTTCTATTGAAATATTACCGTCCATCTATCTCACTGTCAGTTTGCAGTGAGATCAAGACAAACTTCAATGTGACACATAAAGGTATTGCTTTCAACATAAACATTACATCTTATTATGAATTTAATGCTAGATGTGTTCTCTGACTAGACCTAGAGCTGACCAGATGTGTTCTCTGACTAGACCTGGAGGAGAGCTGACCAGATGTGTTCTCTGACTAGACCTAGAGGAGAGCTGACCAGATGTGTTCTCTGACTAGACCTAGAGGAGAGCTGACCAGATGTGTTCTCTGACCAGACCTAGAGGAGAGCTGACCAGATGTGTTCTCTGACTAGACCTAGAGGAGAGCTGACCAGATGTGTTCTCTGACTAGACCTAGAGGAGAGCTGACCAGATGTGTTCTCTGACCAGACCTAGAGGAGAGCTGACCAGATGTGTTCTCTGACTAGACCTGGAGGAGAGCTGACCAGATGTGTTCTCTGACTAGACCTAGAGGAGAGCTGACCAGATGTGTTCTCTGACTAGACCTGGAGGAGAGCTGACCAGATGTGTTCTCTGACCAGACCTAGAGGAGAGCTGACCAGATGTGTTCTCTGACTAGACCTGGAGGAGAGCTGACCAGATGTGTTCTCTGACTAGACCTAGAGGAGAGCTGACCAGATGTGTTCTCTGACTAGACCTAGAGGAAAGCTGACCAGATGTGTTCTCTGACTAGACCTAGAGGAAAGCTGACCAGATGTGTTCTCTGACTAGACCTGGAGGAGAGCTGACCAGATGTGTTCTCTGACTAGACCTGGAGGAGAGCTGACCAGATGTGTTCTCTGACCAGACCTAGAGGAGAGCTGACCAGATGTGTTCTCTGACCAGACCTAGAGGAGAGCTATGTTTAACAACACGATCCTTACTATGGCCCCCTCAAACTTTTTTCTCTGAGGGAAGAGGGCATAAAACGTTTAGGAAGCTGCCGTGTCAGCACTGTTGTAACAGCCATGTTCTGAGGTGCAGCTCCACAGAAGGGCTCTGTGTGTGTTAGTGTCCTCCTGGGGTAGAGAGCTATCTCAGGTTTAATGAGCTCAGTAAAACAGCAGAGATGGCCTTCATTAGCTCACTGGGCGCATTGGATAACACACACACACACACACACACACACCACACACACACAAACACACACGCCTCGGGTGCTTTCTATCTCCCCCCTTGCCTGCATTTTCATTCTCAAATTGAAAAGGCATTTTCCTGGGTCGTACATGTCTGCTGTGCAGGGATAGAACGAGTAAGGAACAGTTAAGACCTAAGGGAAAACCATGGGTGAGCTGGGTGGTGGGAGGCTGGGTGGTGTTATATAAACCTGGGCTGAACTAGGCTGGTGGTAGTGGTGGTATATAAACCTGGGCTGAGCTAGGCTGGTGGTGGTATATAAACCTTTGGGCCTTGAAGCTAGGCTGGTGGTTGGTATATAAACCTGGGTCTGCGCCTAGGCGGGTGGTGGGTATATAACCTGGGCTGAGCAGGCTGGTGGCGGTGGTGGTATATAAACCCTAGGCTGAAGGTGGTGGTGGTATGAAATATAACCTAGGCTGAACTAGGCTTGGTTGTGGTTGGTGGTAATATAAACCTGGGCTGAACCGGCTGCTGGTGGTGGTATATATACAACCTAGGCTGAACTAGGCTGCTGGTGGTGGTAGGTGGTATCATAAACCTGGGCTGAAACTAGGCGGTGGTGGTGGTGGTAGATAAAACCTGGGCTTCAACTAGGGACTGGCTGGTGGTGGTGGTGGTATATAACCTGGGCTGAACTAGGCTGGTGGTGGTGGTATATAAACCTGGGCTGAACTAGGCTGGTGGTGGTGGTGGTATATAAACCTGGGCTGAGCTAGGCTGGTGGTGGTGATATAAACCTGGGCTGAGCTAGGCTGGTGGTGGTGGTGGTATATAAACCTGGGCTGAGCTAGGCTGGTGGTGGTGGTGGTATATAAACCTGGGCTGAGCTAGGCTGTGGTGGTGGTGTATATAAACCTGGGCTGACTAGGTGGTGGTGGTATATAAACCTAGGCTGAACTAGGCTGGTGGTGGTGGTGGTATATAAACCTGGGCTGAACTAGGCTGTGGGTGGTGGTATATAAACCTGGGCTGAACTAGGCTGGTGGTGGTGGTATATAAACCTGGGCTGAACTAGGCTGCTGGTGGTGGTGGTATATAAACCTGGGCTGACTAGGCTGGTGGTGGTATATAAACCTGGGCTGACTAGGCTGGTGGTGGTGGTATATAAACCTGGGCTGAACTAGGCTGTGGTGGTGGTGGTATATAAACCTGGGCTGAACTAGGTGGGTGGTGGTGGTATATAAACCTTGGCTGAACTAGGCTGGTGGTGGTATATAAACCTGGGCTGTGAAACTAGGCTGCTGGCTGGTGGGTGGTGGGTATATAAACCTGGGTGAACTAGGGCTGCGGTGGTGGTGGTGGTATATAAACCTGGGCTGAACTAGGCTGGTGGTGGTGGTATATAAACCTGGGCTGAGCTAGGCTGGTGGTATATAAACCTGGTATGTATGTATGGGTGTCTGGCTATTTGCAGTAATGCAGGAGGGAGCCAGGGTACTAGCTACAGAAACACACTGATATGAAACCATGACTCTGCCCAGGAATTTTTAGCTGACAGCTAACAGGATAAGGAAAAACTCCAGGCCCTAATTACACTAATGTTTTTCAAGCTTTTCCTGACCACATGACCTGATTGATTATGGCAAAGTCTCTTTTGAGAAAGCATTTCACTGTATTATTATACATATGACAAATACACTGAAGCATGAATGTGGCCTAACCACGCCTGAGACATGGCTGTGTTAGGTACCTTCTCTATTTCCCGGGCCTTGGCTGCGATGGCCAGCGCTCGGCGCTCCTGGAAGTCATCCAGGGTCTTGGGGGTCTCATCGATGGAGGGCAGGCCCTCCTCGCGGTCCCCCTCCAGGATATGAGCCACCTCCTGGGGAGAAAGAGAGAGATGGTGGCCTGGTTACTCTACTGTCTGAAGAAAGGATTTCTGAATACTGAACATAAGCTTAGTTTATTTCATATTAATTTAAGTCTATTTTAAGTTCAATTTAAAACAAAAAACCTAACTTTTTAAAAGCATAAAGTACTTCTGCATTGTCCCCTCTGCTATCATTGCCAGTGATTCGATATGAGTGTTCCCCTCAAACAGTGTGGTCATACCCAGAGAGTCCAAAACACACACAGTGCTCTGGTCAGTATCTAAGTGGAGCTTTCCCTCCTTTTAGGTTTCAGCTGTGCATCATGGGAAAAGTTTAAATAAGCCCACAGAGAAATAGCCAAAACAAAATGAGACGTTTGCATTGCATAAAGTACTGTGATCAAATCACATAGCAGAGCTCCAACTAACCATCTATAGTAGAGAGAGAGATCAGCCAGCCAAGCAATATTATCCCTCCCTCCCCACTGGGTATAATAGACTGACCCCACAGCGATGGCAGCAGCCGCATGTCAGAGACTAAGACAGGGAGAAACGAGGCCAACTTCGATCATTGCTTCTATACTGCTGGATCTCGCCGTCTCTCTCTCTTTCAACCTCTCCCCCTCTGCATCGCTCAATCCTCATTTCCTATTGTACATTAAGGGGCTAGCTAGAGGACTGGGGAAGCGGAGAGCTGGCTACGCTTGATTAAATACGCTCATTCTGGAGAGAGGAAGCAAGTGAAGTCGCATTAGTGACCCTCCATCCTCCAAGAAGAAGAAAATAGAAAAATATATGAAAATGGGGGATCACAAAGCCAAGCATGGAGGGCAACCAGGAAGAGAGTGAGTGGGGCTCTAAAAAATATATGATGTGAAAAGATCTGATGTGATTGGCCAAAATATCAATTAGTGGAAAGAAATCAGAATGGGGTTGCCTGTGTAAACGCAGCCAGGCTCTCTCTCTCCCAGTCCCACTTCAATGTCCAGCCTTTAAGAACACATCATAAAGAAACCCTAAGCATCCCAGATACACTACCAGTAAAAAAAAGTTTGGACACACCTACTCATTCAAGGGTTTTTCTTTATTTTTACATTGTAGAATAATAGTGAAGACATCAAAACTATGAAATAACACATATGGAATCATGTAGTAACCCAAAAAGTGTTAAACAAATCAAAATATATTTTAGATTTGAGATTCTTCAAAGTAGCCACCCTTTGCATTGATGACAGCTTTGCACACTCTTGGCATTCTCTCAACCAGCTTCATGAGGTAGTCACCTGGAATGCATTTCTTAAAAATGTGGAATTTCTTTCCTTCTTAATGCATTTGAGCCAATCAGTTGTGTTGTGACAAGGTAGGGGGGGTATACAGAAGACAGCCCTATTTGGTAAAAGACCAAGTCCATATTATGGCAGCTCAAATAAGCAAAGAGAAACATCAGTCCATCATTACTTTAAGACATGAAGGTCAGTCATTACGGAACATTTGAAGAACTTTGAAAGTTTCTTCAAGTGCAGTCGCAAAAACCATCAAGCGCTATGATGAAACTGGCTCTCATGAGGACCGCCACAGGAATGGAAGACCCAGAGTTACCTCTGCTGCAGAGGATAAGTTCATTAGAGTTACCAGCCTCAGAAATTGCAGCCCAAATAAATGCTTCACAGTTCAAGTCACAGACACATCTCAACATCAATTGTTCAGAGGGGACTGTGTGAATCAGGCCTTGTGATGATCTCCGCATGTGTAGTTCCCACTGTAAAGCATGGAGGAGGTGGTGTTATGGTGTGGGGGTGCTTTGCTGGTGACACTGTCAGTGATTTATTTAGAATTCAAGGCACACTTAACCAGCATGGCTACCACAGCATTCTGCAGCAATATGCCATCACATCTGGTTTGGGCTTAGTGGGACTGTTATTTATTTTTCAACAGGACAATGACACAACACACCTGGGCTATTTTACCAAGAAGGATAGTGATGGAGTGCTGCATCAGATGACCTGGCCTCCACAATCCCCCAACCTCAACCAAATTGAGATGGTTTGGGATGAGTTGGACTGTAGAGTGAAGGAAAAGCAGCCAACAAGTGCTCAGCATGTGGGAACTCCTTCAAGACTGTTGGAAAAGCATTCCAGGTGAAGCGGGTTGAGAGAATGCCAAGAGTGTGCAAAGCTGTCATCAAGGCAAAGGGTGGCTATTTGATGAATCTCAAATATAAAATATATTTTGATTTGTTTAACACTTTTTTGGTTACTACATGATTCCATATGTGTTATTTCATAGTTTTGATGTCTTCACTATTATTCTACAATGTAGAAAATAGTAAAAATAAAGAAACACTCTTGAATGAGTAGGTGTGTCCAAACCTTTGACTGGTAGAGTATGTATAAGCCTGAGCAGTTACCCTGTGAGACCTGGTGCCTGTGTGTGTCTGTGTTCTCCTAAGGATAACTCCCAAAAGCAAGAGTGTTTATTGAACCTACACGGTCTCCCATTAAAATGAGTTTACTAACGGCAGAGCTCTTTGATCTTGTCTAAGGTTATGGGTTCTAAACCAGGGAGAGGGGTGGAGAACACACCGCCTGAATGCCTGTCGTGACCAGATCAAACAGAGGGATGGAGGGGGTCGCAGGACTCTCACAAAAAAAAAAATCTACTTTCATCACAGAGGGTTTATTGGTGTGTACACGCACGCACACACACACACACACACGATCTCCAAGGGAGGTACCGTGCAGTGTGGGCCTTCAGATCTCTGGGAGGATAAAGCTTCAGAAAGTGTCTGGCTAGTTTCAAACAGTTGTCTAAATGTCAATCCGATCAAAAGAATGATCATACCCAGAGTATACAGCAAATATTTACTAACACAACTGGCATCAGATGCTTGACAGCGTTTGAACAGTTCTAAGATGTTCCGGAATAGTTTAAGAGGTTTGTTTGTTAGAGATGATATGATGAAACAGAGACCATAGTTAATGTAGCGTCACTAGCGTAACAGGCAGCTCTATGTATTCAGTATGGTGGAGCATCAGGCAGCTCTATGTATTCAGTATGGTGGAGCATCAGGCAGCTCTATGTATTCAGTATGGTGGAGCATCAGGCAGCTCTATGTATTCAGTATGGTGGAGCATCAGGCAGCTCTATGTATTCAGTATGGTGGAGCATCAGGCAGCTCTATGTATTCAGTATGGTGGAGCATCAGGCAGCTCTATGTATTCAGTATGGTGGAGCATCAGGCAGCTCTATGTATTCAGTATGGTGGGCCATCAGGCAGCTCTATGTATTCAGTATGGTGGAGCATCAGGCAGCTCTATGTATTCAGTATGGTGGGCCATCAGGCAGCTCTATGTATGGAGCATCAGGCAGCTCTATGTATTCAGTATGGTGAGCATCAGGCAGCTCTATGTATTCAGTATGGTGGAGCATCAGGCAGCTCTATGTATTCAGTATGGTGGAGCATCAGGCAGCTCTATGTATTCAGTATGGTGGAGCATCAGGCAGCTCTATGTATTCAGTATGGTGGAGCATCAGGCAGCTCTATGTATTCAGTATGGTGGAGCATCAGGCAGCTCTATGTATTCAGTATGGTGGAGCATCAGGCAGCTCTATGTATTCAGTATGGTGGAGCATCAGGCAGCTCTATGTATTCAGTATGGTGGAGCATCAGCAGCTCTATGTTTCAGTAGGTGGGGGCATCAGGCAGCTCTATGTATTCAGTATGGTGGAGCATCAGGCAGCTCTATGTATTCAGTATGGTGGAGCATCAGGCAGCTCTATGTATTCAGTATGGTGGAGCATCAGGCAGCTCTATGTATTCAGTATGGTGGAGCATCAGGCAGCTCTATGTATTCAGTATGGTGGAGCATCAGGCAGCTCTATGTATTCAGTATGGTGGAGCATCAGGCAGCTCTATGTATTCAGTATGGTGGAGCATCAGGCAGCTCTATGTATTCAGTATGGTGGGCCATCAGGCAGCTCTATGTATTCAGTATGGTGGAGCATCAGGCAGCTCTATGTATTCAGTATGGTGGGCCATCAGGCAGCTCTATGTATTCAGTATGGTGGAGCATCAGGCAGCTCTATGTATTCTGTATGGTGGAGCATCAGGCAGCTCTATGTATTCAGTATGGTGGGCATCAGGCATGACTCTATCGTATCAATGGCTGGATGCATCAGCACTCTATGTTTCAGTATGGCTGGGACATCAGGGCCTGCTGCTAGTCTCTAGGTTATCTGGCCAGTGGCTGGCTGCTAGTCTCTAGGTTATCGGCCCAGTGGGCCTGCTGCTAGTCTCTAGTTTATCGGCCCAGTGGGTGATCTAGTCTCAGGTTTATCTGCCCAGTGGGCCTGCTGCTAGCTCTAGTTATCTGCCCAGTGGGCATGTGCTAGTCTCTAGGTTTATTGCCCAGTGGGCCTGCTGCTAGTCTCTAGGTTTATCTGGCCCAGTGGCCTGCTGTAGTCTCTAGGTTTATCTGGCCCATGGGCTGCTCTAGTCTCAGTTATCTGGCCCAGGGGCCTGTCTAGTCCTCTAGTTTGTATCTGGCCCAGTGGCTGCTGCTATGTTCTAGGTGGATCAGGCCCTATATCAGTATGGGGCCTGTGCAGTCTCTAGTTTATTGGCCATGGGCCTGCTGCTAGTCTCTAGTTTGTATCTGGCCAGTGGGCTGCTGTCTAGTCATCAGGTGTATCGGCCAGTGGGCTGCTGCTAGGCTCTAGGTGTATTGGCCAGTGGGCCATGCTGCTAGCTCTATGTATTCACATGGTGGCATCAGGATACCATGGCTGTGAGTAATAGGACATGGCACAGTGGGTGCTGGTGAGATGCTAGTTACTTCACCATTTGGCATGCTGCACTGGTCTGGAGTACTACCCGTGGCCTGCTGCTAGTCTCTAGGTTATCTGGCCCAGTGGGCTGCTGCTAGTCTCTAGGTTATCGGCCAGTGGGCCTGCTGCTAGTCTCTAGGTTATCTGGCCCAGTGGGCCTGCTGCTAGTCTCTAGGTTTATCTGGCCCAGTGGGCCTGCTGCTAGTCTCTAGGTTATCTGGCCCAGTGGGCCTGCTGCTAGTCTCTAGGTTTATCTGGCCCAGTGGGCCTGCTGCTAGTCTCTAGGTTTCTGGCCCAGTGGGCCTGCTGCTAGGCTCTAGGTGTATCTGGCCCAGTGGGCTGTGCTAGCTCTAGGTTATCTGGCCAGTGGCTGTGCTGTCTCTAGTTATTTGGCCCAGACCTGCTGACCATAGCGACTTAGTTTATCTGTGAAGTATATCTTAGATCTTTTATCTGGCCCAGGGGTTGAACTCTATCATACTGGATTAAACGCCCATGGCTGCTATCTAGGTTACACCTGCCCATGGGCCTCTCTACCTCTAGGATTACTGGCCAGTTGGCGCCGCTGCTAGGTCTCACGGTCATCTGGCCCAGGCCTGGTTAGTCTCTAGGTATTCCTAGTGGCCTGCATGTAGACTCAGCACGGCCAGTGCTCTTAGTCTAGTTTACTTGCCCATGGGCGGTGTCAGTCTGTTTTCCATCTGCTCTCTGACCATAGGTTATCTGACCCACTGACACAGACCCACACAGACCCACATAAAGACAGACACAGTGGGGTGGGAGGAGCATGTTAAACAACTATCACGAGAATTTTGTCATCTCAATGGTTGAAGTCAACTACTTCTCAAATCTTTGAATAATTCCCAGAGGTTGTAAATCTCTAATTAAATAATGAATTAAACAAAGCCCCCTTTCTGCAATGATCAGTATTTATTCAGAGAGCGCTCTGTCCCAAAATGGGCACACAATATTTTTATACACATACGTCAGAGGAAAAATCCCACTCCGCTTTAGGCGGCTGTATTTTCCACTGTACACATCTTGTAAGCTCACACCTGGGTTTAGCTTACATTTACATTTTACATTTTAGTCATTTAGCAGACGCTCTTATCCAGAGCGACTTACAGTTAGTGAATAAATATATTTTTTTATACTGGCCCCCCGTGGGAATCAAACCCACAACCCTGGCGTTACAAACGCCATGCTCTATCAACTGAGCTACATCCCTGCCGGCCATTCCCTCCCCTACCCTGGACGACGCTGGGCCAATTGTGCGCCGCCCATGGGTCTCCCGGTCACGGCCGGCTGCGACAGAGCCTGGATTCGAACCAGGATCTCTAGTGGCACCAGTTAGCACTGCGATGCAGTGCCTTAGACCACTGCGCCACTCGGGTAGCTCATGTGGTTATCCTCTGCTGTCCTGACCATCAGGTCACACACACACACACACACACACACACACACACACACACACACACACACACACACACACACACATTCTTATCATAGTCTACTACTTGCTCGGGCAGGCTGCAGTTTTTCTCTATTCCCATACATAGTTATCGCTGTTCTCACAATATTCTGCAAGCCTTTCACTCCCTTTCCCTGTGTGGGGACATCTGTTTTTGAAACTGGTCTCCTGTTATTGGTTTCAATCGTTTTGCCCTTCTGCATGCCTAACTACAAAAATAAGACAACTGTCTCATTGTACTTCTAACTAAGCTACACACATTATCAGATTATAGTCTTATGATTCTAACCCATTTCACACAGTTCTGGGGTGTAATAACTAGTCATTACCAAATTATTCTATCAACAACTCCATCAGGCTGTCAGCAGAAGAGTGTTGTGACAGTTATTTTTAAGTGACTACACTTGCACTCAAGTCAGTACCGCTTTAGTCTTCAAGAGAAAGGCAGAGGGAAAAACTAATTAACATTGAATATCCCATATCCCCATGGGGAGTCTAGCTCCACTCAGCCAGTCTACCTAGCATATCCCCATGGGGAGACTAGCTCCACTCAGCCAGTCTACCTAGCATATCCCCATGGGGAGTCTAGCTCCACTCAGCCAGTCTACCTAGCATATCCTCATGGGGAGACTAGCTCCACTCAGCCAGTCTACCTAGCATATCCCCATGGGGAGTCTAGCTCCACTCAGCCAGTCTACCTAGCATATCCCCATGGGGAGTCTAGCTCCACTCAGCCAGTCTACCTAGCATATCCCCATGGGGAGACTAGCTCCACTCAGCCAGTCTACCTAGCATATCCCCATGGGGAGACTAGCTCCACTCAGCCAGTCTACCTAGCATATCCCCATGGGGAGACTAGCTCCACTCAGCCAGGGAAAACCAAGGGCTGGGAAGGAACATCAGTGAATTGGATCTAAAGTTCCAGACATCCATCTCTCTACTTGGAGATGCTAAGGCGAATATTATAAACTGGGTGGTTCGAGTCCTGAATGCCGTGGTATATGAGACCGTATACCACGGGTATGACAAAACATTTATTTTTACTGCTCTAATTACGTTGGTAACCATCTTATAATAGCAATAAAGCACCTCGGGGGGTTGTGGTATATGGTCAATATACCACGGCTAAGGGTATATGCCTAAGAACAGCCCTTAGCCGTGGTATATTGGCCATTTACCACACCCCCTCGGGCCTTATTCCTTAAATATACCACACACTGACATGACTTGAAGCATGAACCGCTACCTATAGTGGTGACTCTTCCTTTTTGCCCCTGTGTGTGTTTTAAATGTGTAAAACACTTCAACAGCAGGACTCACCTTAGTGGACGCTGTGCTCTGAGGTGACCCGTCCTGAGAATGACCAGGGAGCCTGTCTTTGTCTGGAGAGAGAAAGAGAGGAACACAACAGAGTAAGAGTCTGAGGGAGTGGGTTGAGGAGGGATTCATTCAGAAAACCAGACCTGGAGCCAGTACAATGAAAAAGCCCACTAAGCATATAGTGTGAGCTTATTGGGGGGTAATAAAGGCGTTTTGACATGTTCTGACACAGCCAGGTAGGTTCCTGTGGGAGGGGCCAGGGGTATACAGCTCACCTAGTCTACACAACCAGATGGTCCCCTCTGCTCTCCATCCACCATCGCATTGGATCTTTGCTTTGTCCAGATCCTGTTATTATTTTGGATGTAAACCCTCTATTTTTACTCCTCTCATCCGGGCTTATCCCCTCTGCACTGATCATATCCTGTGGATGGTTGCATAATAAGCCTAGGGGGAACTGCACTAGGAGACACCCTGCAGGCTAGTCAGACTTGGGGCTGAATTGAACCTCGACGCTACATGACCTCATTCGTCCATTGACACTCTCCTCTTTCCGTCTCTCGCTCTCTCACTCATTCTCTCTGACCTCAGTGTTGCCAGAGGCTTGATGCCCAAGCAGCACTCGATGCCCAGTGGGCACCACCCCAGGCGCCATGGCCAATTACCCAATAGGCCCATGTCTGTGTCACTTCAAAGACCATGCTCAGACACTCAGAGTGGAAATTCAAATGACCTGATGGTTCCATATTTTATTAAGAGGATCTCTTCATCATTTACCGTTACATTATTCAGATAAATTGCTAAACGAAATTCTGATTGTGGATATGTTTTCAATTACATTATTTCTAGTGGAGGGATGTGTGTGACTGTGTCAAATCCTTTTGGCCGACTTTGTGGGTTGAACAGAATTCATTTCCATGTTATCAAAAACACTCCATAACTGAATGTGAAAGTGGGATTGAGACCGAGAAAGACAAGAGAGAGAGAGAACCTGTGGGTGGAGGATATTAGTTTTTGTCTTTGGATTGAATACTTGAATAGTGACTGGGGTTTGACAGAGCCAACATGGTGGCCAGTAACATCCCTCTCCCACACTAACATGTCTACCCACACAGCAGTTATATCCATTAGAGTAGACACCCTACTCCTTCCTCTACACACACGACCCGCCAGCGTTTTTATGATCCATAACAAAGTGGCAGAGAGCGTGAAGAGGGCAGGCCAGCCGACCAATTAGCAACGCTCTCTCTCAGGTTACCTCAGCTGAAACAGACCCAGCAGGACAAAGCCCTTCACAGAAAACTTCAAACCTAGATCTCCTTTATTATGGGCTGAGCTAGCCATTGGGTGGGAACATTGGTTCACGGTTAAACCTTATTTTATATCTCAATTAAACTTAGTGGTTAAACCTTGTGGGACTTGGTGTTAGATCAAGGAGTTAAATAGCCATTTCTCCATAATAGGTCATTGGATAGATCGATTGCATGTCATTAAAGACACAGGATAGAATTCTTATGATCAACTAACAGTAATCCAGCATTTATTCTGCAGACCCATTACAGTTCATGATATAGCTACAGTTAATGTGTTTATTCTCTAGACTAACACACACTATAGTCTCCAGAACTCATCTACGGTTCCTCTCTTCCCTGTACTTACCAGAGATCCTGCTCTGACAATACTCTTCACACCCTGAGAGACCATGGAGAAGAGAACATGGCAGTCACTGAGACTAGCTGGGAACGGCTCCTGTTGACTAATGACCTACTATAGATGATGAATATGGCTGTTTTGTATACATCTGGCCCTTCATTGGACACTGTGTTAACAAACCTCCAAACGAGCTTCAATGCCATACAACACTCCTTCCGTGGCCTCCAACTGCTCTTAAACGCTAGTAAAACTAAATGCATGCTCTTCAATCGAACGCTGCTGGCACCCGCCCGCCCGACTAGAATCACTACACTTGGCGGGTCTGACTTAGAATATGTGGACAACTACAAATACCTAGGTGTCTGGTTAGACTGTAAACTCTCCTTCCAGACTCACATTAAGCATCTCCAATCCAAAGTTAAATCTAGAATCGGCTTCCTATTTCGCAACAAAGCCTCCTTCACTCATGCTGCTAAACATGCCCTCGTAAAACTAACTATCCTACCGATCCTTGAATTAACAAAATAGCCTCCAACACTCAACTCGGCAAATTGGATGTAGTCTATCACAGTGCCATCCGTTTTGTCACCAAAGCCCCATATGCTACCCACCATTGTGACCTGTACACGCTCGTTGGTTGGCCCTCACTACATATTTGTCGCCAAACCCACTGGCTCCAGGTCATCTATAAATCACTTCTAGGCAAATCCCCGCCTTATCTTAGATCATTGGTCACCATAGCAACACCCACCCGTAGTATGCGTTCCAGTAGGTATATCTCACTGGTCATCCCCAAAGCCAACACCTCCTTTGGCCGCCATTCTTTCCAGTTCTCTGCTGCAAATGACTGGAACGAACTGCAAAAATCTCTGAAGCTGGAGACACTTATCTCCCTCACTAACTTTAAGCATCAGTTGTCAGAGCAGCTTACCGATCACTGCACCTGTACACAGCCCATCTGTAATTAGCCCACCCAACTACCTCATCCCCATATTGTTATTTACATTGTTATTTATTTTGCTAATTTGCACCCCAGTCTCTCTATTTGCACATCATCTTCTGCACATCTACCATTCCAGTGTTAATACTAAATTGTAATTATTTTGCACTATGGCCTATTTATTGCCTTACCTCCATAACTTACTACATTTGCACACACTGTATATAGATTTTCTATTGTGTTATTGACTGTACGTTTTGTTTTTGTTTACCCCATATGTAACTCTGTGTTGTTGTTGTTTTTATCGCACTGCTTTGCTTTATCTTGGGCAGGTCGCAGTTGTAAATGAGAACTTGTTCACAACTGGCTTACCTGGTTAAATAAAGGTGAAAAAAAAAAACAAAAAACTAATAGAATCGTGATGCTCAGCCCTTCAAGGGAAGCTTTCTTTCAGCGGAAGAGACAATCACAACTATGGCTGATTCACACTATAGGGTGACCCAAACTGGACGCTGCTGGCTCCAGATGGCCCTTTCCAGCACGGTTCCAGTGACTAAGGTGGATGTGAAACCAAGCCGGCCCGGTTGGACCCTATATTGTGAATCAGGTAGGACCGTATGAAGCGTAAAGAGAGTTAGTAGTACATGCTACACGCTGCATGCTACTATGGAGTAGTGGACTTCTAAAGCTAGGGCTCTAACACAGCACAGTGCACCACTGACCCATGGGTACTTGTCCAGGGGCCTGTTTGGGGAAGATCCACCCACCACAGGGCTGCTCCCCCACAGCCACAGGGGCACCAGAGAGCGCTTCAGGATAGTCCACACCTAAAAGCGCGCCAATGACATCATCAGACGGGGACGACAAGATTCAACTACAGAGGCCGAGGATGGGGAGGATTTTCCCCCCTGGTTCCAATAATGCAGTGGGTCAAAATGTCCATTCACAGGGCTATCGTCTGTCTATTGGACAAGTTCAGGTGGAATCCCAGCTCTTCATAAGCTGCTGAACTGAATGCAACCCAAAAGGAACATTACTGGTGGGGTAGGTACTTACTCTTCTGCTGGGCGGGGTGGAGGAGACCCTTGCCTCTATCTGGAGAGTAGCTCCTGCTGCTCACGGTGGAGCCGGACCGGCTGTGGGGGGAGGGGGGGACATCTGTTCTCAGGGGAGGCAAGGGACCTTTCCTTCTGTAGGTGTGAGAGGGAAGGGGGATTTCAGTCACTTAGAGTGACTTATAATCAGTACATTCAACTAAAGATGGTAAAGGGTAAAATTACAGAAGACAAGATAGAGGACACAGAGAGAGTGATCAGCTTCTTTACATAGGTAGAGTCTGACCACCACAGCTCAGCGTTCAACACCATTGTCCCCTCCATGTTCGTCACCAAGCTAAGGACCCTGGGACTGAACACTTCCCTCTGCAACTGGATCCTGGACTTCCTGACGGGCCACTGTCCAGTTAGTAATGGATAGTACCACCACCAGATAGATACGTACCCTCTGTCCAGTTAGTAATGGATAGTACCACCACCAGATAGATACGTACCCTCTGTCCAGTTAGTAATGGATAGTACCACCACCAGATAGATACGTACCCTCTGTCCAGTTAGTAATGGACAGTACCACCAGACAGATACATACCCTCTGTCCAGTTAGTAATGGACAGTACCACCACCAGATAGATACATACCCTCTGTCCAGTTAGTAATGGACAGTACCACCAGACAGATACATACCCTCTGTCCAGTTAGTAATGGACAGTACCACCACCAGATAGATACGTACCCTCTGTCCAGGTTGAGGATGGCCTGCATCAGGGTATCATCCCCCCCCTCTGGGACCACCGCAGACAGGGAGCGGGGTGCAGGGTACATCCCCTGAGCCCTGACACTGGGGGGTGGGGGCGCTGCACGGCCACTGCTTCTGGGTGGAAAGACAATCACACATCAAGGACCACATCTCAACAGCAGACTGTACAAATCAGGTTTAATACTGGAGGTACTTGGCAATTTAAAAGGACTATGGTAAACTAAGAGGTTTAAAACAGTACATTAGTGGAAGCAGTAGACTATTTCTTAACCAAAGGTCACAACCACTTTGCAATCCTGGTATATAAAAAGGTAGGAGGGGAATGTCTTGGGAGTCTTGGCCACTAGCCTACATCTGCTGTTCATCAAAGCTTTCCATCTGCACTGTGTCAGAGCGAGCAGACGTGATTTTAGAGGGACTGCTCAACAAGACGGCTTCAACTGTCATTTGACCGCAGGCACTGAGCACTAGTCAGTATCCAGTAGCACCACTCCACTCAGAGCAACCATGAACCTTCTCTGTTGGTCCACTGCTGATCTCCACCTTCTGCTACATCTGGGTTAAGAAGGGGCCGTCACAGGGCACTAGACACTCCTGTCAAGATGTTTAAGGGTTTATTTAGATAAGTCTTCCCCTGGCCACGGTGGATCAGCACTGGAGCCTGTAGTGCTGACAGGACAGACACGGACAGAGGGGTGGAGAGAGGGGGGACCCCGGGGTCGTAGGGGTGAAGGTTTTAGACCAGTGAGACGGACTCCTAGACAGGGGAGCACCGGGCCAAGGTAGATGGCATTAAGATGAGGTACCGTAGAGACGAAATACCACATCAACAGAACACCACCCTGGTCGCAATCTGAGCCCAAAACCTGAAGAATTTGTATATCTCCTTTCAGGTCTGGAATTGTAAAATGAGGAAAAGTGCTGCTACATATTAGGACTGAAAATGCACAAGAAAATCCCATTATGAATCAATGCTTCTTCCAAAATATATTGGGACAGAAACCTAACCAACTACATATTTATCTAAATATCTTCAGGCTAAATGGTATTTTCAACTGGTTTTAATTGCTCTGTTAAAACTCTACCATTGCTCTCTGTGCGAAGGCTAAGCCCTAGTAGTTTCATCTTCCTAAACACACATCTGTGTTAGCAGCAGTAAAACCATTAACATTAGTTTACCCTCCAGCCCTCTCTCTCCTCTCCTGTTGTGAATGTTGATCCCCTCTGGTTTGGTGCTCGCTGATTATGTGCCTCTTATACGGCAGGCTGTAGACCGACCCAGCCAGGCAGGCAGGCCCAGGGGCAGGAGGGGCAGGCGAGGGTATAAACTAATTAAAGGCACCTGGTCTTAGCAACCCCAGCCTGAACCCTGGTCCTCTTCCCCCCCCCGTCCTCCAACCAACCAGCAGCTTGGAGTGACCGACCTCACAAAACTTTAATGACCCTGGGGATGCGTCCCAAATGGCACCCTATTCCCTACATAGTGCACTGTGGGCTCTGGTCAAAAGTAGTGCACTATAAAGGGGAACGGGTGCCATTTGGGACGCACACAGGGTGTTGTTTGAAGGGTACATGACCTCGTCTGACCCTATCCGTACACAAAGCAAATTACCACATGTCAGTCTTTACTGCCGATGTTACCCCTAAATATTAGCCTGCTACTTTAACCTCCCACTTCTGAACTGTAACAATGGCCCCTGGCTGTTTAACAGTGGGCTCTAACTGACTAAACTGACCAACGGTGTGAAATGAATAGTCTAGGTCTTGAATTAGAGACAGTTGTTAAAGTAGAACATATTTTCTTAAATTTCTGCTGTGTTGATTAAGTAAGGTGGTTGCTCTCCTTCTTAAACCTGGGGTTAGTGTATTCTACACATAGCGGTCTTCAAATCCTGTAGAATGCCTGAACATACTTCAAAATCACTACCTGAATGTACTTTATCAGTGATCATTAAAAGGAGGACTCAATCTAATGAGTTCATTCCTGTTGATTGTAGTTCAGGTCAAGAGTGCAATTGTATGAGAAATACAGTTTGAACATCAATCAACTTCAGGTTGCATCAGACTAAGCAATCTCTCAGTCCCTTTATGTGTGCGTCCTAAACTTTACACTGTCGCTACAGGTAAATACGCCAAGACAAATAACAACATACAGCCAGACCTGACCTAACTAACCGGATTGCAGTGGGCCTCGGGGCGTGTGACTATCATAACCTCTCAACACTGACTTGATTTATCACAGTAATTACTCTCTCTATTACTTCACCTGAGGAACTGAAGAACGTAGGAGAATAAAAACCTACAGCCTTGAACACCTGGCCCTTAAAATAAACAGGTGAGTGCTGCTGCTGCACGCATGTACCTCTCCTGGCCCCGGGACAGTCACAGAACCCTGCTCAGCCACACTCTGGCCAATGTTGTAGTGTAGTGACTGCCTTATACAGTTGTGACCAGACCCATGTCCTGTTTCATAGTGTTGGTGCTGTCCGGAGGGTGACTCAGTAGACACCATCGTTATCCCTGTACCTTCCTTCACCTCCATCATGTCAGGTTATACCAGACGCAGAGTGACACTGATAGGTAGGGTTTTAAAGACCAGTAGGCGACCCCGGGCTGCCACAAGGAATGGTACGCTCATTGTGGTGCAGACCTGGGTTCAACTACCATTTGAAATCTTTTCAGTGTTTGCTCTAGTCTGCATGGATTGCCAGATGGGCGGGGTTTGCTGTTTTGGGACTATTTTATGCAGTCATTAAGCCAGGCAAGGCTCAATCAAGCCCAGATAATATATTTGAAATGATTTCAAATACCATTTGAACCCAGGTGTGGCGTGGTGTGAAAGCAGAGCGGCAGCAGTCGACCCTGAGGTGTTTCTGTGTTTCTCTCCCAGTCCCAGGAGAGAGCTATATGAGCAGGGAGGTGGACGGTGGCCGATGTGGGCCAGACCTGGGTTCAAATCAGTACAGACATGACATGGGCTTCAGTCTACAGGGCTGATTGGGAAGGCTATGTCAAAAAGACTGGTTGTCATGGTAAACAAGTGGAGCAACAATGCCATCCTCTGGTCACTTAGATAATGACAGAGCATTCATTGGGGGGGTCAGGAGAGCTACTTGTAGTGAAACAGAACAGTGGTTATACAAGGTTAGACTACTTGAAGATGAAGCTCCAATTCTCCTGATGAAAGTTTCAAAACAAATATCCAGGTGTGTGTGAGACAGTTGTGCCTACCTGAACTCCATCTGCCGTCCTGAGTGGGGGTCCTCTCTAGGGGGCGCTCTACCGGGGTAGGGGTATGGCTCCTCCGGCTAGAAGACAGACGCAGGGAATTTATTTTATTGTTTGAAATGAACCTGCTACTACATGGGGGGCTGGCAGTACTGAACAACATATCTATAGGTGTCCCATCTTGAAAAACAAACTGTTGTTTATTAGACAGTATTTTCTAAAATATTATTTTCCAATCCTCTGTGTGCACCAATGAAAGTGATTGACAGAGCATCTTCTATTCAACTGTAAATGTTTTCAACATGTAATTCTTTATCTGAACACCAAGTGTCGTTAGAGGTTGAAATAAACTCATTCTCATACAGTTTGCGGTGAATAGAATGGATTTCTAGCTGTACTATAATCATATACCCTATAACTTTAGCATTGACTGTACTCTGATCTAAATTCAGTACTTCAATCAAATGTATTTATAAAGCCTTTTTTACATCAGCAGATGTCACAAAGTGCTTATACAGAAACCCAGCCTAAAACCCCAAAGAGCAAGCAATGAAGATGTAGAAGCACTTCCATTGTGGTGTACACATTCTACTGTAAGATAAATATTTCTTGCAGCTTCTCAAATCATACTAATGCAACCGATATGGGGCACATTCTTTTGTGCTTGTAAAACCAGCATGTACAGTACATTGATGTGCAGATATTACGGGGGGCCAGTATAAAAAAAATAATGTATGCACTAACTGTAAGTCGCTCTGGATAAGAGTGTCTGCTAAATGACTAAATGGAAATGGAATATTATGTTTCCTTGGCATAAGGCTTAATTGTGCGTGTACAGTAAGGGTTTATTCATTGTATGACAACAAGCCACTTACTCTCCGGGAAGGTGGAACACCTCTGCGCTCGTTAGGGAAATGAATGCTGTCGCCACGGTAGCCTCCTTGATCCTCGCCATGGTAACCTCGAGGGCCTCCATTTGGATAAAAGCGAGGCCCGTCGTACTCAAACCCTCGATTGTACTCCTCGTCTGGCCTTCCAAAACCAGCCGGCCTCCTCTCTACAGGCCCTGCTCCAGCTGATCTGGGATATGGGGCCTACAATGATTTACAAGAAGATAAAGAGAAACAAGATTAGGTTTATGTCCTCTAGAAAGCTATTTACTATTATTATTTAAGAAAAATCATGTAAATAAATGTTCAGTCAATCATAGAACTCATGTAATTTTCAGGATGGAAACAAAACACAGTTCTGTGGAGCTCAGGAACGCTCAACTCTTTTCTCTTATATCAAGGCGGAGTTGAGTATTGATAACTAGTCGCGCGATTTGCTAGCAACGACATTGAGGCACCATCAGTCGATACTTGCACAAATGTACATTCTGAAAACGCTTACCTGTACAACTGCAGGTGCGGAAGTTCATACTTTTAATCAAAACTTTTATTGAATACAACCATATACTTTTTCCTCATTTGTGTTGCTCAACTTTTGTGCCAGTTGAATCTCAGCTGACGTAGTACTTCAAGGCCACCAGAACCCAAATTAGGAAAAAGTAAATGGTTGTATTCGATAAAAGTTTTTATTAAAATTATGAATTTCAGCAGTGACCAGTTAACAATACTCAACTCCACCTCGATATAAGAGAACGGAGTTGAGCATTCCTCAGCTAGGTTCTGTTAAGTATTATAATGGAAAGTAAATGAGTACAATTATAAATATATAAACCGAACAACATTGTCCACCGAAAAAAACACTCACCGCTCTGTCTGGTAGGAAGCGTTCCTCATAGACATCCCTTATGTTTCTGTCTCTCCTGTAAGCCACTGCAAAGAAGACAGCAGGGGAAGTTTACACAGTTAATGACAATCAAAGCTGTGGTAGGTGTTCATGAACATGCCTACATGTGGGAAGACCTGGTGGAAATGTTGCTTATGCATAACTGGATACATTTTTTTTGGGAAAGCAAAATATTTCCACTTACTTGTTTAGTCTGGTCAAGTCTATGTAGTAGTATTGGGAGTGGGTAATGCCAACAGGGACAGTCAATACTAACTGGCGAAAGAAGAAGATGTGACGTATTAGTTTGACAATAATGCATGGTGTGCACATTAGCTATTAACATTCAGGTTAGGAAATACCAAGCATAGGGCTATGTCAATGCAGTATTTGTGATAGTATGGAAGCTACAGTAGCTAGCAGCTAGCTCAGATCCAGGAGTCCTGGCAGGACGTTAACGCGCGTTCCTCAGGAGGCTCAACCATAATCTTTGGTTTAGCGTTAGCAAGCCGCACTAACGCCCTAGCTAGTAGCTAACTACTACTACTCTTCTTTCAAACAAACCTCCAACCATTGAGATTGGTGATATGAAAACACCCTCTTTCTAATGGCTCGCTAATTAGTTACCGTATTTAGTACATAACGTTGTTCTAATATATATGTCGCAGGTTGTGTAGATTTGACTGCTAGCTAGGTATGCTTACGTTAGCTACATGCTGAAGCTAGTCCACAATCCATGCTGAGTTAATTTGCTCAAACCGAAAACAGTATTTAGAACAAATACATATTTACTAACACAAACATGTAAACACGTCATAAACGATGCGCACGTTGGAGAAAATAAAGTCGTCTTCACAAAAGATATGGGGGGAAAAAAGCTCACCCTTGCCTACTTTTCACCTTCTTCCGGTTTGCGCATGTACACACAGAATTTTGATTGGATTGACAAAAGGTCAGTCACGTGAAACGTCATATTCCTGTGACGACGAACAGTTCTCGTTTGTTTTTGGCAGCTAGCTAGTAAACACATATTACTGAGATTGAAAAACTAATAAAAAGCAACATATTTACCTTCTTTTTTGTTGCCCACACTCAATAACTATACATCACCAATGTTGTCTGTCTAGGTAAGTGATTTATTCGATTCCTTGAATGTGTATTTCCAGGTAATACACATCTGATTTGAGCTAGCATCATAGCTAACTTGCATATCGCGGAATGAAATAGATAACTAGCTAGCTAGTTTCAATCTGATTATTCATCACCATGAATCTGTTTTCAGTGTCTGTCTCACGCTGATGGTGAAGTCAAGATGAGTGGCGGTTTGGCTCCCAGTAGAAGCACAGTCTATGTGTCCAACCTGCCCTTCTCTCTAACCAACAGTGATCTACACAAGGTAGTCTGCATCTGTACAGGAATGTGATATAACTACTATACCCCTCCCTATCACTAACTCCCAAGTTCATGATCCTTCTGTTTTATGCCATTTGGAAAACTTACCTCAAATAATGTCTTGGATCTTTTCATTTCAGCTTTTCACCAAATATGGAAAAGTTGTGAAGTAAGTTACCGGTATCAAAATAATGAACTAAACTAAGCTCAAATACAAACCAAAAAATGGTCACATGCTTCGTAAACTAACGGTGAAATTCCTAGTTACTGGTCCGTTTCCAACAATGCAGAGTTAAAGATAAAAAGATTTTATTTTATTTTAGGAAACATTGACAGTGAATAACAAAAAATCTATAGCAATATGTTGTTGTTGTGATTATCAGAGAAGATAATGATTGTCTCATGCTTTCAGGGTGACAATAGTCAAAGATAAAGAAACACGCAAAAGTAAAGGTGTGGCTTTTGTGCTCTTCCTGGACAAAGAGTCTGCACAGAGCTGCTTTAGATCGCTCAACAACAAACAGGTGGGCATTTCTCGTCCCCCTGTTTTCATAACAAGTCACATATCTGATGTGTTGTTTTTGCGTCAAAGTCCCCCTCTTTTTCGCCCGTAGTTGTTTGGCAGAACAGTGAAAGCGAGCATTGCTATCGACAACGGGCGAGCGACTGAATTTATCAGGAGGCGAAACTACACAGACAAGTCCAAATGTTATGAATGTGGGGTAAGTTGATACTGTCTGCCTAGATAAGCCATCTCCGTTTCCCTCTTCATCCATCCGGAATGTGTAGCCAGATCTTAGTGCTATTTATACAGTATTTCTGTCGTTTCCACTTCATAGGATACAGGGCACTTAAGCTATGCATGCCCCAAAAACTTGCTTGGTGAAAGAGAACCCCCGAAGAAGAAAGAAAAGAAGAAGAAAAAAAAGGTTGAAGAGCCTGATGAAGTGTAAGTATCTTATCAAGACATTGATGCCACTCTCGTGTTCGCAAACGGCTATGATCGTGGTCAACGGCAGCATGTCCTTGATATTAACAGTAACTGTTCTATTTCAGTTGGGCTTTAGTTCAGAGAATCTTTATTTGATTGTGATGTCATATTTCTCATTGTTTGTATTTCCTCTGTGTGTGTTTGTTTCTATGATGTTTCTGATTTGTTTCTCTGTCGTTTCCAGAGAAGAGGAGGAAAGTGAGGAAGAGGGAGAGGACCCAGCTCTTGACAGCTTAAGTCAAGCCATAGCTTTCCAGGTAAGTGCACAAATGTACTTTAAGTTGGGGGAAGTTAGTAGGCTATTGTATTACTTGAAACCCTCAATTTACTATTACAATCATGCAAAATGTGTCCTTATCCGAGCCCTCTTCTAAAATCACACATGGGATCATGTGTTCCACAGCAAGCACGACTTGAGGAGGAGCAGCATAGGAGACAGCAGACTGCATTCGTGGCTGAGGAGGCCGGTCCAGGCTTCCACATTAGATGACTCCAAGAAACCCAGGATCAAAAAGAGTGCCTACTTCAGTGATGAGGAAGAACTGAGCGACTGAGGGGATTTCACAGATATAATTCAGACTCTCGAGTAGCAAATATTAGAAAATGAACGGGGACGTTCTGTTTGTCAAGATCTGCAAGGGCATCATCAACCTGAACAAAGATGAAACGTGTTTGATGAAAAGGGTTACAGTGTACCATTTTAGTTGAAGTCCTTAACTGTTTCTGTAACAGTATTTGATTTTTTTTGTACTTTGATCCTTAGTCCTTATTATGAGGTTCTTCTGAGGCATTGGAACAATGTGAATGAAGATGAACTGACCGGCCTTTTGTGTGTTTCTGCTGTTTTATTTTGAACAGCTTTGTAAATATACCATAGTTGTTTTAGTCTTTTTTTCACCCTTCCTATGTATGTCAATATTAGGGAAATACAACTATTTTATTTTTAAAAAGCCTACCACATCCCAATCTTTAGGTGAATGCACAATTTATTTGAAAACAGTATTGAAACATCAGTGAAAGAGTAGAACACCACAGGTAGCATGTGGTTTTTCACTATAATGAACCACACTTTTGCTGATAAATAGGAATAAAGAACATTCAAGTCATGAACATTCCTTCCTGTATGTCAATATCAATCACAACTCCCCATCCCCCAGCTGCTAACCAGAGACACAGTACAGTAAGGTGTGT